TTAACTATAACCACGAACAAGTCAATCGCAGCAAATTTTGCCCAGGAATGGGTTGGCAAAATTTGCTGCGATTGGCTGCTTTCTGATTTGGATATAACCACGAACAAGTCAATCGCAGCAAATTTTGCCCAAGAATGTGTTGGCAAAATTTGCTGCGATTGGCTGCTTCTACTACTACTACTACTACTACTACTACTACTAGTGCTACTACTACTACTACTACTACTACTACTACTACTACTACTGCTACTAGTATTGCTACCATAAATGTAAAAATTATGAAGCTGAGGTGTAGGTAGAACTTCGCCGAGTGATAATAAAACGAACTTTGTATTTTCTTAATGTTATGGGATTGTAAGGGTGGGTGGGTGTTATATCGAAACCGTGAAAACAGCTACACTGTAACACTGCTCGATCCGGAGCTGCTGAACTCTGAACCCTAAACCCTAAACCCCTAAACCCTAAACCCTTAAACCCTAAACCCTAAACCCTAAACCCTAAACCCTAAACCTAACCCGAATGTCAATATACAAGCCTTTCCAAGCTGATGCACTGCGTCCTGACCGGTTCAGGTTCCGAGCCTGCCTCTGCCGACGATTTAAAAGAGATTAAGGTTCAGGGTAGGGTTTAGGGTTTAGGGCTTAGGGTTTAGGGTTTCGGGCTTAGGGCTTGGGGTTTAGGGCTTTGGGTTTAGGGTTTAGGGTTTACTGTGTGTTCCTTAGGAATCCTGTTCCTGTTTATTGCAGCATAAAACCCAAAGGCTTATTGCAAATCCTGTTTTTGTTCTGGGTTGCAGAGGCTTATCTTACAAGGGACTCAATACTTATTAAGACTATTCCGCAGGGTTCAGGGCTTCTGCTTAGTAACTTAATATCGGCTGAACTCTAGAAACAGGTGAATAAGTACGTATTATGTACGTATGTATGTATGCATGCACGTATGTACGCATGAACCTACGTATCCCTGCTTGTCTGTTTGTTTGTCCATGGTTTGATGTATGTATGTGTGTTGCTGCACTTCCTCTGGAAAAACCGCAGAATTGCGAGTCAGAGCAGGTGTTGGGAGTGGCTTTAAGAGCCGGTGTGAAGGCCAGCTGCGGCGGCCTGGCTGCAGAGAATTGATTTCGAGCGATTTCGGGCTCAGCGTATGTATGTCGTGCTCGCACATCAGATTGGGCTGGGGGAATAGCGGGAGGAACAGGAAGAGGACGACGACGATGACAAGGTGATGATGAAACGAAGAAGACGATGTCATCAGCAGCGTGGTATTGCTGCGGCTTGATGACGATATAACCTGGTGGTTGTCACTCAGGTGGTGGTGGTGGTGGTGGTGGTCCTGAAGGTGATTGAAAGTGAAAAGTGTTCAGAAACGCTAGGCTAGTGTGCTCCAGAGTTTAAACCCCCAAATCCGGAAAGAAAGAGAAGGCTGAGCAGAGAGATGTTTGCTGTTGAAGGCTTGGTGCGGGATTGTGCCCCGGCCCAGGGTTTGTAGCGTTTACTGCTCGCACTTCCTCGCTTTGCTGGGATGTTCTGCCTGCGGCCCACCTGCGCTCGCTGGACAAGCTTGCTTACTCTTTTTTGGGTGCTTGGAGGGTTGCACAGCCAAGCTCCAGACTGCAGGTGTTTAGAAATGGAGCTCTCCCATGCAGTAAACTATAATGGCCGTAATCATTAGAGCAGGGTTTTTGTGGCAAGGGACTCTCAGGAACAGTTGCTATGGATCAGTAATTTCTACGACAACACGCGGCTGCTCCGGCTCAATCTTCTGCGAGCCTCCTGAGAGGGGGCTCCATGGACCTTTCCAAGTCCCTGCGACCTCTGCCGCAAGCCGGGTGTCTCTGCCGTCGAAGTTTGCAGCCTCAAAGGGTGCGCGATGTAGATTTGCATGTTACAAATAGGAGACTTAGATACGGTTGTAGGGTAGAGTAGACAGTTTATGGTTGCACCCACAAGGTACGTGTTGCAATAGGGTTAAATGAGTATAGGGTACCGTAGACAGAGCTTATGATCTTAGTGTCAGGCTCCTGTCTTATATTCTTATGATCCCTAAATGGGTAGTTTTCAAAATTAGGGTCCCTTCTGGATCCTTTTTATAAGGGTGCCGTACTATATTTGGGACCTAAGAAGGAACCCTAATTTAGAGAACTACCCAAATGCAGGTGCCACAATTGCGATCTTGCGCCTCCCTCGGCTTCCTCACGGCGGCCTGCTGGCCACTGGCCGCCACGCACCGTCTGCGACGCTGCTCTGGGCTCCGTCCTTTCGGTTCCGGGATGGCTCTTCCCGCCGTGCCTCCCCTTCGAGACTCCGCTGTCCTAAAGCAGCATGGGATCTCCCTGAAACGAGGCCGCTCTTGAAAGATTTTGGTTTAGGTTTTAGAGTTTAGGGTTTAGGGGTTAGGGTTTAGGCTTTAGTATGAATAGTGATTACAGCAATGGATATAGGAATAGCGTAACCTTAAGAGGCAACAGAGCTGATTTTTTGGCATTGCTTAAACTCAACACTGAATCCTCAATCCGTAAAGCGCTAACGGCTAAAGGATTAAACCCCACGGCACCAAATGCGAATTTCCCAAAATCCCTAAAGCCGAAAGCTAGAAACCTACAAATAAACACCTTAGGGTTTCGACCCTCGAATCCTGAACCTCAACTCCCTAAACCCTAAACCCTAAACCCTAAACCCCAAAAGCCCTAAACCATGAACCCTAAACGCCTACATAAACCCCTTAACCCCTATTATAAACCTTAAACCCCTGAACCCTAAATCCCCAAGCCCTATACCCTAAACCCCCGCTTCCCAGAGCTTCAGTCAGAAGAGCTGAGGACGGCCATTGAGCCGTTGGGTGCCCGGGTTCGGGGCCTCGACCTCAAAGGACCCGAGCCCAGCCCAGAGGTGCGAAACTTCCTGGAGGAGGAGGGCTTTGGGGTTTAGGGCTGCACGGGTTTAGGGTTTAGGGATTTAGGAGTTTAGGGGGTTTAGGGTTTAGGGGTTTAGGGTAGGGTTTAGGGTTTAGGGCTTCAGGGCTAATGTAGAGGCCTTAAGAATTAGAATAGGGTTTTGGGGCCCATTATACTGCAATTATAGTAATATGGACCCCCCCAAAACAGTATTGGTAATGGTTCAGGCCCCTATAGTATTTAGTTTAGGGTTTAGGGGTGTAGGAGTTTAGCGGCCTGGTTTCGGGTGTAGGGTTAGGGATTCCTAAACCCTAAACCCTAAACCCCTAAACCCTAAACCCTACAGGGTTTAGGGTTTAGGGTTTACCGGTATTTAACAAAAACCGACCTCTTCCGTGCTTCTTGGGGATGAGTTCTTTGTGTAACTCCTTGGGAAGGTCGTGTATATGGGTGGTTGTCAAGATTATGGCCCTTTTTGGGGGTACCCTAAATAATAGGTGCCGTATTATAATAAGGACCGAAAAAGGGACCATAATTTTGACAACCACCCATATGTTTGTGCAAAGGGTAGGGGTAGGGGTTTAGAGAGGGCATTTGCAGTTTAGGGAATGAGGGCTTCATGACTCGCGGATGACGGCGAGGGTGCATGACTAAGAAGGATTTGAGGTTTTTAGGGTTTGGGTTCTGGGGGTTCAGGGTTTGGGGTTGTAACTAGGGTTCAGAATTTCGGTGTTTAGGGTTTTAGGGTTTAGGATTTAGGGTTTTAGGGTTTGGGGTTTAGGGTTTTAGGGTAGGGTTCAGGGTTTAGGGTGTAGTTGTGGTTTGGGCTATTTAAGGCATGAGGTTTCATATCGGCGAAGGAGATGGCTCGCCGAGGCTTCCTTGTCTTTGAAGACCAAGGCGTCCTATCCGGAGATGCCTCCCGAAAGAAGTTTCGGGTATCTTCTGTTTTTTACGGTATATACTAACTCGGTTGGTTTTTGTGACATTTTTGATTTTCCTTATTTGGGTTGATAAGGGGCCCTTTATGTAAATATTGTTCAGAGGGTTTAAAGGCCAGCCCAGACACAGATTTTTGCGAGTTTGGAAGAAGCTTAGGGCCTTAGTCTTTAAAGCTTGACGGAGCACGGCGCAAGCTAAGGAGCAGGTGCGAGCCAGCGAATTCTGGGGTGGCCGAGAGATTCATAGCACCCATGGAGTCCACCCCCAGGCGCCAAACCGTCACATCTTCCGCCTGAGCAACGACAGCGCTGTCGGCATCGCCCTTCGGAGGCAAGAGCACCATTTTTAGGAGCCTTTTTTTGGTATGACCGCATCTTCTTCACCTTATCAGTACTTATCAGCTTTTTTTTGGAATGTGCAAAGATACCGCTACCATAGTTGAAAGCTTAGTTTCTTCTGGTCAGGGACTTTCAGAACCGATCGTGTGAAGCCCACACCCCCCCTGGGGACAGGCATGGGCGGTATGTGTGGGTCCAGGTCGAGGATGCTTTCGGATTGTTAATATAGGGGCCTGAGTAATTAACAAAACCATTTTTTTTTTGGGGGGGGGGGGAAGGGGTCCTTATTATAAGTAGTATAATATACCCCCAAAACGCCATTCTAATTATTAAAGGCCCTTATGCTAAACCCTAAACCCTAAACCCCAAACCCTAAACCCTAAACCCTAAACCCCATTCTAAGTATTTAAGGCCCCTTATACCAGGTCGGCGTGGGCCCTCAGTGGCACAACGACGGCTCCTTTGAGGCGGGAGGGGCCCGGCCCTTCGCTGTTCCTCTTTGGGATGTTCAGAGGGTTTAGGGTGATCTGGATTTAGGGTTTAGGGTTTAGGGCTTAGAGTTTAGGGTTTAGGGTTTAGGGTTCCTTGAAAAGTTCAGTTCTTTCGATTTCGGGGTTTGCTTGGTTCCAATTTGCAGCCCTGTAGGGTAGCTAGTAAGATAACTTAAGGAGTGCATGTTTGATATATAACCCTAAACCCTAAACCCTAAACCCTAAACCCTATATAACTTCATAGAAGTTAGATCAAAAAAACGACCTCCTTAAGTTAACCATCTTTTGCTCATGGCGCGGAGCTTCAGTACGGGCTAGGAGGGCGGGGGCATCGAGTTCTAGTTCTCAAGATCCTTACATTTCATCCCGGAGCCCTAGGGTTTAGGGTTTAGGGTTTAGGGTTTAGGGTTTAGGGTTTAGGGTTTAGGGTCAAGGTCCTTACATTTCATCCCGGAGCCCTAAACCCAGATTGCAGAGCCGTCAAAGGAACCTTGAACCCATTCAACCGCTTTGTTAAACCCGGTTCGGCATAGTGAACGAGATCTCCCCCCCCCAAACCCTAAACCCCTAGACCCCCAAACCCCTACACCCCTAAACCCTAAAACCCTGAACCCCTAAACCCCTAAACCCTAAAAAAACCAAAACCCCTAAACCCCTAAACCCTATCTAAACCCTAAACCCTAAACCCCGGAGGTTGGGGTTTTCTCCCACGTTGGGTACCACATCGTCCGTGTGCCCGAGCATGGTGGAAACACCCAGTTCGTGCACCAGGCTGGCCCTTGCCCGTTCCAGGGTTTAGGGTCTAGGGTTTAGGGTCTAGGGTTTTCGGGTTTGGAGTTTAAGGTTTAGGGGTTTAGGGTTCGGGGTTTAGGGTTTAGGGTTTAGGGTTTAGGGTTTAGGCGGGGTTTAGTGTCTTAGCCCTGTAGGGGTTAAGGGTTTTAGGGGTTTAGGGGTTTAGGGGTTGAGGGTTTAGGGGTTAGGGTTTAGGACCTAGGGTTTTAGGGTTTAGGTTTAGGGGTTTAGTGTCCTAAACCCTGAACCCGAGAGTAAGCAAAGCTAAAGGTAGAGGCCTAAGTTAATTTCAAGACTGTTTCTGAGGGTTCTTACAAGAAAGCTCGACTCTATTATGGTATTATTACCCAAAACCCTGTTCTAATTGTTGCGGCCCCTATGTCAAAACCCACTTCCACGAAGTCGGATTGGTGATGATGGCCTGAATCACTTAAATGCAAAACCGAAACCCTAAACCCCAAGCCCTAACCTCCTTTGTACCTCAAACTATGAACTCTAAACCATTACGCCTTAAAGCCCCATAGTCTGCGCCTTAAATCAACACCCCAAAACATCGTAAGCTTCCGCCCGAAATCCTAAACCCCAAACCCTAAACCCTAAACCCTAAACCCCTAACCCCTAAACCCTAAACCCCGAAACCCACGAAGGGGGCGGCCTTCGATGCACTGCCTCCCGAGAAGCAGGAGTACTGGTCTCGGCTGCTCAGCAGAATCCCAAGCCCCCAGCCAGCCATCTCAGGTTTAGGGTTCAGGGTTTGCAAGGTTTAGGTTCTAGGGTTTAGGGTTTTAGGGTTTCGGGTTTAGGATTTTGGGTTTGCAAGGTTTAGGTTTTAGGGTTTAGGGTTTTAGGGGTTTAGGGTTTCGGGTTTTAGGGTTTCAGGGTGTGGGGTTTTAGGGTTTAGGATTTTAGGGTTTAGGGTTAAGGATTTCAGGGAATGGTCTGATGATCTCAGGCTTAGTCGGTAATGGTCATAGTCTTCCTCTCCACGCCATGGAAAGTATAGGGGCAGTTCTATAAATTAGGGTCCCTTTGAGGGTCCTTTTTATAAGGGTGCCGTACTATATTGGGGACCTAAAAAGGGACCCTAATTTAGAAAACTACCCATGTCCATCAAGAGCATGCAGAAGCAATGCCCTCGTCCCGAAACCCTAAACCCTAAACCCTAAACCCTAAAAGTATTTTGCCGGCCCGGAGTGCATCAGACCTTGTCAAGTGCAAAAGAGGCCCTGCCCTAGACCGTAATTTAGAAGCTTGAATAGTTACCAATAGTATTTTTTGGGGTTCCTTATTCTAAGTATAGTATACTATACCCCAAGACCCTGAACCTTCAGGGTTTTATAGGTTTGGGGTTTAAGGATTAGGGTTTGGGGTTCAGGGTTTATAGGCTCAGGGTTTTTGCCCATAGGGTCCCAATGCAATCAGAGCACCACTGTCCAGAGGGAAGTGGCATTGGGGTAGCTGACATGTGAAATCCAAGCGGGACCGACAGGCGTGAAAGCAAAAACCCGGTATCAGTGTGCAAGAGCGGGGTGCCGGCATGTTAGTCACAAGTACAGAAGAAAGCTTACAGGGCCAGTGTAAAGACCAAATGGTATAGCACAGAGTAAATTGCCAAGAATAGATGCACGACAAAAGCACTCAAGAGGCTGGTCTCCGTGAACGCCACCTCGGGCGTTTTGCATCCCGTGGTGCACGACCACCCCATCTCGGGCAGACGATCCGTGTGCCCCGTTTTAGTGTAGGTTGGAGAGCTCATGCTTGAGGGATTGAATTTCGGGTTTCAGACTAAGCTTGGAGGAGTAGGTTTTCAGAGCCCGACTTGCGGAATTGAGGGCTTTTTTTTGCCCGTGTCAGGTGATGGACAGCCTTCGAAAAAATCGGCCCCACAAACTCTAGCAAGCCTAAACCCGAAACCCTAAACCCTAAACCCTGAACCCCTAAACCCTAAACCCTAAGCTCCAGGTACCTCCATCTTGGCATGACAGGAGGCATTCTCGAGAAGGCGGCTAGCAGCAGAGGAGGGAATTGGTGCCACAGCCTCGATCTTCGTTCCCGTTCTCGATGTTCAGAAAGGAATGCATCTTTAGGGTTTCGGGTTTAGGGTTTCGGATTTAGGGTTTAGGGTTTAGGGTCCCTAAACCCTAAACCCCTAAACCCTGAACCCTAGGCCCAAACCCGAGGCCCTAATCTGTGCACGAATCCTAGACCCAAAAGCATCCCCAGGCAGTTTTCGAAACCCCCAACCACCCTTACCCCTCATCTTCGAACTCCCAAGAGGCAGAGACCCATGAAGCCCTAAACTCTAAACCCTCACGGCCGCGTTTTCGGATGGTACTGTAGCTCTTTATCCTCAAACGCAGCCTCTTTGAATAGCAGTGGTCTCAAAGCATAAATTAGGCTAGATTTGTGGGGTGGTTGTGGGGTTTCGGGACGGCTAGGGCTTAGGGCTTAACTCAAGGTTTAGAAGGGCTCACTGGTGTAGTTTTAGGATTACTAAACCCCAAACCCCATACCCTAAACTATGAACTATACATGGGTAGTTGTCAACATGATGGTCCCTTTGGGGGTACCCTAAATAATAGGTGCCGTATTATAATAAGGACCCAAAAAGGGACCATAATTTTGACAACCACCCACATGTATGGGACTCCAAGCAAAATTATTGCTGTTCTCTCGAAGCCGGCGAGTACTATAGTGCCTGTTTTCACATGCTGTTGAACCCTGTAGGAGCCTGCATGCATATACTTTAAAAATACCTACCTACCTACCTACCTACCTACCTACCTACCTACCTACCTACCTACATACATACATACATACATACATACATACATACATACATATGTGTTTATGTTTGTATATGTGTGTTTGTAATATCAGTGTTTATCCATTTGTTTATTCAGTAGATGGGTCATATGATTAGGTATTTGCACGCATGAAAACCGACAGAATACCAAGAGGTGGAGGGGGCCAATGAATTTCGACTTCTGGAAGAAGAGGACAGTGGGCTCAGTTTCCTGGATTTCCCCAGTGAACATCAGGTTTGGGGTTTAGGGTTCAGGCGTGGCTTGTACCGGACGTTGAGGGATGCCACGGTTTGAGGGACAAGGGTTCCGGGTTATAGGATTTGGAGGTTTGAGGCTTGAGTTTGAAGGGTTGCATGTGCACCAGATGCCAGTCTCAACAGCCCCCCCCCCCTGAAATTTGCAGCATAAACTCGACGATATTTTGAGGCTCAGGATCTGAATCACTAGGAAGGATCTTCTCTGAGAGTTCCTATATCGTTGTGCGAGGCTGTACTCCCACGTCGGCTTTTTGTGTTGACAGGCATTCGTCCGCATCACCGCCAAACGCTGACTATGAGCATTACGACGACTTGTCTGTGATGCTTGATGGTGATTGTGTTTATTATCATGACCATGATCATTATCGTTTGTCTGCTTATGCATGCTGAGACTGCTGACTATGATTATGACCAAGATTGTTCAAACTGTGATAGAGGTGCTATGTTCGAGGCAGGCTGGTTTAGAGGGTATTCTTGTCAGAAGGTGGCTATGGCTTCGGGCCCTGAACTGTACCGGAATCCAACAGCGTACGCTTCAGTCCCTTACTCCCTCGACCCCAAACGAAAGCCCCTAGCAGCTACAAGCCCAACCCTTAGAATAGCTCTAGAGACCGTGAAAGTGGGTCATTCGATCAAGTCAGGACTGGGTTCGTACCTGGGGAACAAACGACCTGAATGACGTTCCTCCTTCCCTGAATTAGTGTAGCAACCGAAATAATTACCAATGCTATTTTGGTGGTTCCTTATTATCACAGTTATAATAGAATATACCCCAAAACCCTATTCTAATTCTAGTCATTAAGGCCCCTATATATTGAGCCCAAAGTTACCTCGACGGCCTTTAATTCGGTTTAGGGTGCATGTGACGGAATGCTGCCGTCATGCTTGAGTCTTGCAGTCACCCGGATTGAGGTCACCTGAAGCTGACAGGGGTGGAAGGTTTAGTAGTTTGAGCTTAGGGTTTTGAGGGTAATCCCTAAACCCTAAACCCTAAACCCTAAATAATCTCGGGGTGTGCCGTGACGCCAGGAGATCTCGGATGTCTGCCGTACATACAATGAGCTCCTGAACGCGGGCTTCCCCGAGCGAGGTGGCAACTATGCCATCAGCCGCTACGACTGCAACTATCGTCTCCTCTTGCACCTATCATATAGGGTTTACGGTATTGGCAGAAGGTTGAATAAAATAGGGTCCTATTGAATGAATTGCTGCTTTCAACTACTACTGCTGTGCAAGCTTGGCCTGCAACGGCAAAAGGAAGCAAGGAGGCACGGCTGCGACAACGACGACTGCTTCTACGTCTGCTGCACTACAACGGCTCATGTTGTTCTGGCTACTACTGCTGCTTCGATGCTGCCGGTACGTTTTCGAACCATCAACGAAGTACGTCCGATATGATGCTGCGTAACTGCGTAACTTCTGCGAAAAGGACAGAATTAACACCAATAGTGCGCCGACTTTGCTTTGATGTGCCATGCGACTCTAGATTTTCCAGGTTGTGGAAGTGGTAAACCCTAAACCCTAAGCCCTAAATCCTAGACATTATACCCTAAACCCTGAACCTTAAATCCTAAACCCTAAACCCCGAATCGACTTGGGAGACTTGCTGACTCTTGCACGGGCCATCTCTCCCACTAGCCGAAGGCATCCAGAATCCCGATGGCTTGGCGTCTGCAAACCCCAAACGCCAAACAGTAAAAGCGTAAGCCCTATATCCTATATAGTTATTCCCAGAAAGTTGGAACATGGATTTAGGATGATTTGTGCTGGGATCCCCTTTGCTTTACCTTAAGGAGCATGAGGATAAGGATGTTCCAACTTTTTGGCTTCTACTACATGCTTTGCCTAAACCCTAAACTCTAAACCCTAAGCCCTAAACCCTAAACCCCAAACCCTAAACCCAAAACCTGCTTTGACAGAGCAGCCCACCTTCCTGCAATTCATCGCTCCAGGGTCATGAGTCCTTAGCCCCACTAAACCCTAAACCCTAAACCCTAAACCCTAAACCCTAAACCCCCTAAACCTTAAACCTCTAAACCCTAAACCCTAAACCCTAAACCCTAAACCCTAAACCCTAAACCCTAAACCCTAAACCCTAACCTCTCAGATGGTTTGTGGTTTGGCCTCCAGATCATGGGGCCTTAAGGTGTCTGCCGTTTAGGGTTTAGGGCCTGGCAGTTTCGGCCATGAGCGGTTTAGGGTTTAGGGTTT